ATAATAAAAAAAAAAAATGTTTAAATTATTATTATTCTGCAAGTAATTGAGTGGGTTATGATAAAAATATCACCCTGTATACAATATAATAATATAAAAAAATATAATAGAATAGAATATATACTATAGTATTTACCAAGTCACTTTTGACAAACGTAAATTCTTCGTAATAAATAATTAAACGGCAACTTCTTTTATTTATTAAATAATGATTTTATTAAGAAAATGATTCTTTTGGACTAGTATTTCAGGAATTATTGATATATTTATATTTTGATGAGAGGGAGAGTACGGCCGGGAAATGATTTGATATAAAAATAGCAGCATCTATCAACTTTAAATTGCTATGAACTTCTGAAATATTAATTTAAAGTTGTTATCGAACAGTTATTTTCTTTATTAGAAATTTATCTAATAATGCACTGTGACAAAAAGAAAAAATAATAAACCGATAACTATAAAAGTTTATTGCGGTGTATAAAACACACTTAATTGGACGCAAAGGTCCACAATCAATCCCAGTCTTCAGCACACGCAAAGGTGGCAAAAATAACTTCAGGTTTTTTATAAACCTGTCATTTTTAATGGCAAACCAATAAATTTAAGGAAGAAAAAGTAAATGAAAAGTGTAAAGATTACACAAATAAAATTAAAATACAAGAAGAACAAGACATTAACATTAGATGGACTTATCTGAGAAAAACAACTACAAATTCTGTTAATGAAACAATGACAGAAGCAAAAAGCATACTACTCAGAAAGCAATAGAAAACGCAAGAGATAATTGAAATGATATAAGAGAGAATAAAATATAAAAACTTAAATACTGATGAATATCAAAGAAAATATAGAACTTTAATAAACATAATTCTAAGGAAATCAAAAGCAACAAAAGAAAAATATCTACAAGAAAAATGTGAGCAAATATACATTTTGATGAGAATGGACAAAAGTGAAGAAGCATATAAAACAGTAAAAAAGTTCTTTGGAGTAAGTACACCCAAATGTGGAGCAATAGAAAATAAAAATGGAAAATTGTAATTTTCCATAAATAATTATTTATGAGCAGGAACAGATTGTAGATAAATGGAACGAATACATAAAAGCACTATATGACGGAAGAGAACTAGTTGTCACAGGTTAAGAATAAATAAATGCTATGGAGCAAGATGAAGAGTATGAAGAACTTCCGATACTAAGAGAAGAATTTGACAAAGTATTATAAGACTTAAAGTCAAAGAAAGCGGTATGAATAGATATGAATAGATGAGATCCAAGC